TGTCTTTCTTGTCATGGAAGACCGCCTTCCTCATAGCAATAACGTCTGCCAGACGCGCTAGCGAGATATGTGCCCTTCGGGCTGACCCTCCGTACCTTAGGTTTCACAGGGACAGGGCGGTTCTGCGTACTGACGTGGCGTTCCTGCCGAAGGTTTCCACCCTGTTTCATAATTCTCAGGAGATAGTTTTACCGGGGTTTTTCCAGGAACCGTCCACACCTAATGAACGTTCTTTACATCTCTTGGATGTACGTAGAGCCCTTGCGTTCTACGTGGACAGGACTGCTCAAATTCGTAAAACACCTAGGTTATTTGTTCTTTACCGTAAGGACAAGTTGGGCCTTCCTTTATCGTCTCAGAGGTTTTCCTCTTGGGTGGTTTCGACCATTCGCCTTTGTTATCGGTTGGCAGGCAGGGCCTTACCCTTACAAGTTAGGGGTCACTCCACGAGGGCCGTGGCTACATCGACGGCCTTTCTGAAGGGAGTGCCCTTAGATGTGATTTGTAGGGCGGCAGTTTGGTCGTCTCCTCTAACCTTTGTCTCACATTATAAGGTGGACACAACCTCAGAGAGAGATTTAGAGTTTGGTAGGGCGGTACTCTCCTCGGCGGTGGCATGATCCCTCCGTCCGGGGTTGAGTAACTCGCTATATCTACCAAATGTACAATTCACAGGGACTACGACATGAAATTATAAGTTGCTTACCTGTAACTGTAGTTTCATGAGTAGTCACCTGTGAATTCGTACATACCCGCCCTTCCTCCCCTCGAGTATCATGCCACGCCTTCTAGCTGCTATTGCGGTTGAAGAGAACTGTCGGCTAGCCCCGCCCATGGGCTATATATACTCGGGAGGGGGGGGGGCGGGTCTAGCTGAGGGCAAATTGTTTCTTTACTTTCTAGAAGGTTCCGTTAGCTGTACTGCGCAAGCGCAGAGATACCAAATGTACGAATTCACAGGTGACTACTCATGAAACTACAGTTACAGGTAAGCAACTTATAATTTCCTTTGCTGCTTTACAGTTTGCTTTTTTGCATCCTCTTTAATGTTTACTAAGGTGAAATTTCAGTCTTTAGGTGTCTACATGGAGAGCAGTTGCCTGGGTGCTCTATCAGTCTTAACCCAATTAAGATTGATAGAGCACCCAGGAAGGTTTTTAATTTTATTTCTGCAGCTTAACCTGCCCCATTTTAATCTCCAGCTTCACCAGAACAATTCTCTTGTGGGTCAGAGCCACTGGAACTCAACTAAAAAGAGGTCTGCAAGAAACACTAAACAATATGTAATGGCAAATGCTTCCATGAGTTTTCTTTACGAATGGATGTGTAGTTGCCAAGATGTTAATTCAAGGAAACATCTGTTCCTTGACAGCGAACAGTTCTTCTCTGTCTGATGCCCTCAGGTCTGCTTCCCCATGACATATGTTGCTTGGTGTCAAGATGGACTAACAATGCAGCAAGAAAGAAATATCCTTTCATTGTTGTGATACATGCACATTTTTAGAAATCCCTCAGAAAGACCACCACACACCTGTACATTTAGGAGGATTTTTTTCACATTTTTGGACTGAGTTCATCTCCTGTTTATATATAAATGCAGACAATAACCAATAAACAACAGATAGTCTCCAGATGTTGCCTTAAGACTTAAGCTGGACTTGATACTGTCACATTGATAAAGGGTTCTCCACAGACCCTACAACAGTGGTTCTCAACCTGTGGGTCCACATATGGTTTGGCCTTCATCTCCCAGAAATTTTAACAACTGGTCAACTGGCTGGGGTTTCTGGGAGCTCTAAGGCAAAATACCTGGGGACCCACAGGCCTATGCCCAGTTATGGAGAGTGACTATTATGCAATGAAATACAGGTATTTATACATAACTTAGACTAATACAAAGTTTCAGCACATTTAGCATTGCTAGTTTCTGGACAATCATAGTCAGAAAAAAACTCCATTAGCAGTTATTTACATAGTATATATTTTATATTTTATTGTGTACTATGTTCATTCCAGCTTCTCTTTTATGAAATAAGGGCCACTGGCAGTGGTTTGGGTATCTTAGCTAATGATATAAACTATACTGTGTGTGATAAACTGAATTATCTGGCTTTGTTCTTGGCTCGTTTATCTTTGCCAAAAAGAAAAATTAAAATAAGTTTTGTCATGAATTCTTGTTCATATTTATAACATATTGCCAAAGAATAGGAGGAATATGAGTCTGTTCCCTATCTCCCCATTTAATGTTATGTTTAGAAGCCAGAGTAGTAGTAGTAGTAGTAGTAGTAGTAAATTATTTTATTTCTACCCCACCATCAACTTTCCAAAGGGACTCAGGGTGGCTAACAAAGTACAGCGAAGTGCCGCATATAAACATACATAGATCTAAAAATGATAAAAGCATGAAAATACAATATCACATGCACATAATTACATTATAAAACATTAACATTCATAAAATGCAGTCATAGCTGTGGATAAAACAAGTTTATTTCAATTAACATACACCTTGTGCCGAAGTGACACCAACAGTAAGTCCTTGGACCAACCCTTAAAAATCTGCATAAGATCAAAGGCTTGTTTAAAAAGCCATGTTTTCAAACTTGATTGGAAGGCTTGAAGTGAGAGGGCTAGCCTAATCTCTCCAGGGAAGACATTCCAAGGCCGGGGAGTCACCATCGAGAAGGCCCTCTTTCTTGTCCCCCTAACCATATTTGGGACCTCCCCGGCAGAGCCCACGCTGGCTCATAGAAGGAGATGCAGTCCCAAAGAAGATTAGATCTTGTATTTCATTTTTGTCCTTGTTCAATGATTTAAGAACATCAGTAAGTCTTCAGGAAGTATGGATCTCATTCCTGCCTTCCTCAATTTTTTTACATGTTTTACTGAGAGAACTGTTGTTTTGGATCAATTGACTGCAATTTCTTTGAGTCTCATTCTAGAAAAAAAATGGATTTATTATGCAATTTAAATAATTGGGGGGGGGGGGTTGCTGTTGAATTTTTGTTTGGCAGATATTTTATTTTACTAACATTATTGAAAAAGCCTGTTCCAGAGGAGAAAGGAGCTCAGAAATATTCAAACATCTAAACATGGGGCAAAATCCAGAAAAGTTTAGCACCATCAGTTCCCCTAATTACTTTGTCACATAGATAACTGTCCTCAGTTAAGGCTGTGTTATGTGCATATGAGAGAGAGAGAGAGAGAGATAAAGAACATGTCATTTTTCTAGTCTAGACAAAATAAAGGAAAATTCAGAAGCACAGAACTGAAATACTGTCAGTATGATTTACATCATACTGTATTTTTAGACTGAGTGTGACCACTGATCCTCAGAAGATTTGTGACTTGGTATGAAACGTAGCAGTTCAGTTTCAGAGTTGCTGACTCCTTCTGGATTAGCAATTCATCCACTTTCACATTATCAGCTAAACCACTGCTTCTTAAACCATGGGTCCTGACCCCAAATTGGGCCCTCATAGCTCAATGTTGAGGTTGCAAAAAAAAAAAATGGCAACAACATCCAGTGTCTACAGTGGGCTCTGCAGAAAATGCTTCAGCTGTACTTCATGAAAAGGAAAATCAACCTGTTTAGCAAGCCTTGCAAATGCTAGTTTATTGTCGGTAGAGGTCTGGTTTTTATACTCATTTTATATACATGTATACCCAGGGTCACATAAAAAATCTCTTTCAGAAAGGAGGTAAGAGCAGAAACAGTTTAGGAAGCCCTGAACTAAACTATGTAGATGAGTACAGGAATGATGACACAGCTGCCTCTCTTTTGTGCATTTTCTTCCTGAGAAAACATGGGTCCTCTGTGCTTATTAATGTCTCTGTGACAAAAGCTGCAAAAGCCTGAATCAGATACATAAATGCTTCTTTGGGGTCAGGGCTTCCCACAATGAAGAGGAAGTGTTTTAATTACTGGCAAGGGTGATTCCACTTACAGATTTTGCATATGCCCATTTGCCAGTGAAGCTGACCTTGACAAAATGACCTAAACACAAAGTTGAACTATTTTGTTTAAATATAATTCCTCTCCCAAAGCTACTGAAAAGATGTTGATTGTACTCTCCACGTTAGATGGATGCTAATCTTTTTTATAACAGTATACTGATGCACAGCAACCAAGTTATCTCAAAGTTAGTCAAGTTCTTTTGCTAGTGGCAAGAAAGGGAATAACAATTTTCACTGCAAAATAGTTATGATTAGTATATTTACACCCCACTTTTCTCTCTTGATCAAGATCAAAGCAGCTCACAACGTTTAAAAAAATGTACGTCAGTTAGGGAGATGTGTTTGGCTATCAGAAGATTTTGACCTATTTATGGTATGGGTTGGGGCTCCCTGGTGGTGCAGCGGGTTAAACTGTTGAGCTGCTGAACTTGCTGACTGAAAGGTTGGCGGTTTGAATCTGGGGAGCGAGGTAAGCTCCCGCTGTTAGGCTCAGCTTCTGCCAACCTAGCAATTCGAAAGCACACAAATGTGAGTAGATCAATAGGTACCGCCTTGGTGGCCACATGACCTAGGAGGTGTTTTTGGACAACACCAGCTCTTTGGTTTAGAAATGAAGATGATCACCACCTCCCAGAGTTGGACACAACTAGTCTTAATGTCAGGGGAAACCTTTACCTTTATGGTATGGGTTTGAGTGTAAATGATTTGGTATAATTTGCTTTATGGAAGGCAGCCCAAACTGATGGGCCATCATGTCAAGATGAAAAGCAGAAGTCTACTACTACATCTTTTTCATAACATCGTTTAATTGCTCAATTAAAGTTATTTGATGTCCTAGTGATTCCATTGTTGCAAGTTATCTTAAGGAATAAACGTCAGAAGATCCTGTATCCAAATGTGGCAGCATCTTTTATTGAGATTTCCTTGTGAAATGTTTGGAACCTTAGTTTGCTGTGTGGCTCCAAATAGCACAAAATTAGTTTAGTCTGGAGGCTGCATGAGGTATGTGATTCATTTTGTGTTTTTCCTCCTTCCTTACACAGGAGTTCCAAAAAGCTCTTGGAGCCAAACATTCTGTGTATGACACCACAAACAGAAGTGGCCGTTCTTTAAAAGAAAAAACAACTCTTGCTGATGACAATTTGAAACTGGATGATATGCTTAGTGAACTTAGAGACAAATGGGATACCGTCTGTGGAAAATCTGTAGAAAGGTAATGCCGACATCCTCATTCCGTATATAAATTTTTTTCCCAGATATAGAAAGGCATGGTTCTTCTTCTCAAGCCATTTCCCCTTCCCAAGTAAGTCATTAATGTAAGTCCTTGGCCAGACTAGTCTTGCAAGGGGTCACTTCGACCAAAGAGATTTTTAGTCTAGGTACACATTCTTAGAAGTATTAATGTATTTATTTATTTAACAATTTTATTTATTTATTGAATTTATATCCTGCCCTTCTCCTGGATGGTATTCAAGGTTCAAATAATCTTAACCATCTGCAGCATAAGAGGACCTGCTCAACACGAGTCTCTGAGGCTCCATCTACACTGGCATATAATGAAGTTTGAATTGTATTATAATGTGCTGTCGAAGATCTTCATGGCCAAAATCACTGAGTTGCTATGTTTGCCGGGCTGTATGACCATGTTCCAGAAGTATTCTCTCCTGACATTTCACCCACATCTATGGCAGGAATCCACAGAGGTTGAGAGGTCTATTGGAACCTAGGCAAGTGAAGTTTATATATCTGTGGAATATATCCTCCCAACAAAGGATTCCCCTCAGGCAGAAAGCAGCCATGCTTTGAAGCTACAAGGCCATTCAGTGCTAACTAAGATGGCCAATTGCAACATTTACACTTGCCTCAAGCAGACAAGAGTTCTTTCTCCCACCCTGGACATTCCATAGATATAAACCTCCTTTGCCTAGTTTCCAACTGACCTCACAGTCACAACCTCTGAGGATACCTGTCATAGATGTGGGCGAAACATCAGGAGAGAACATAACCATACAGCCCAGAAAACTCACAGCAACGCACTGCATTATATGGCAGTGTAGATGGGGCCTGAGATAGCATTTCAGAGGGATATGCCTGAAGGATTGTTACACTACACATAATCATTTAGTCACTGGGCTGGGGGTTGTGTTTTCTGTACAACATTGTACTATGTATTTTTCTAGTGACACTAATCTTGATACAGAGACATCAACTAAAGTGTATGGTTTTCTTTAAAATATGATTATCCCTGAAAACAAGCTCAACCTTTCCTTGTGAAATGGGTGGGAGTGACAGTGGAGGACATGCTAGCTTGGAGGTCTGGGAAACTGGAAAGGCACACAAACATGGGGCTGGGGCTTGTGCAGATTAATTTCTTGTGGGAAGGAAGAGCTGGAAGGTGACAATAACAGCAAGGAGCAGTATTGTACTCAAAATACTGCACCAGCCTGCTTGGACTCTGCAACGTTTGAGCTAAAGAGGATGCTTTTTGTCCTACAGCTTCTAGAATTCCCCAGCAGCACTCTCCAACTATGTGGCTAGGTGATTTTGAAAGTGGAAGTCCAAAAAAGTAACTTTTCCACGCTCTGATTACGGTAGAGTGGTTTTTATTGCTGGAGTTGAATAGTTAGTGGCAACGCTTTGGAGTGTGGTGGAATCTCCTTCTTTGGAGGGTTTAAAACAGACGCTGGAGGACCATCATTTGTGAGTGCTTTGGTTGTGCTTTATCTGCATGGCAGGGGTTTGGACTGGATGGCCTGTGTGGTCTCTTCCAACTTCCTGATTTTATTATTCAAGCGTGTTGATATTCGAGGACCTGGCTTATATATAATACTTCTTAAACTGTGTGATGTGGCAGGCTGGCAGTTTTTTTGTTTCTAGAACATCACCATGGATTTACAGCTAGTGGTACAAAAATCACCACTGTTGCCTAAGCAGGGGTACATTTTCATTATGTTACCATTGCAATGTGACTAATGACATAATAATTAAATCAACGGTTAAAAGCACACACAACAATTTTTGGTTCTTTTTATTTATTTGTTTATTTATTTTTTAAAAAATAGCATAGGAATAAATGAAAATATCAATATCTAATAACTGTGCCTTTTCCTCCATTGTGTGTATGTTTTTAATTTCCCCCTCCAGACAAAACAAACTGGAAGAAGCCCTGCTGTTTTCTGGACAATTTACGGATGCTCTTCAAGCTCTTATAGATTGGCTTTACAAAGTGGAACCGCAGCTGGCCGAAGATCAGCCTGTGCATGGAGACATTGATTTAGTGATGAATTTAATAGATAGTCACAAAGTAAGGGCAACAAAATTACAGTCATTTTCATATTATTTTAAATCAGGCACATCAAAATGTTTTGATTGAAAGCCTACTGGGCCAGTTTGCAATGTTAACAAAGATGTGTGAGCTCATTCAATAGATCAAAAACCCTAGACTGTGGTATAAACATTTAGTATGTGGCATAAGAAAATGCAAGGAACCAACTTGTGGTTAAACCTACCTACAAATAACATATGAACATTGCTTTGTAATCTGGTATTTTATGAACATTTAAATTAAGATGCATGGAGATGTTTCTGAAACTCAGTCATTAAAACTGCAGGTAATAGTACAGTATTTGTATTCTCTTATTGCAGTGTTTATCACAGATGCAGGTACTCACATGCAGTTGTTCTACCATCTACGAATGCTGCCCCATTATTTAAAAATGGGGTTTGGAAACTGTTTTCCTGTCTAGATCCCTTTTGGAGCAGCTTTGCTTTGCAAGAGAAGATGTGCTGAAATAAATGTATACCATTATATGCAGAATTTTTCACTGTAGATACTACATTATACATTGTTCTCTGGAACAAGGTTTCAATAGGCTAGGGTCTTCTAATCAAGGTTTGAATGGTCAAAAGAAGGCAATGAGAGCATGTAGACCTCACAATAAACCATTGTTTAATATTATGGTGATTAGTGTCTTTTCCTCCCACTCCCTTCTCCAGCATTGCCATGAAGGGGACATTGGAAGCTTTATGAATTGATTAACCATGATTTATTGTTTTTTTCTGAAATCTGAGTTATCATTTACATTAATTATAGGGTTGCTCTGAGTTTTCCAGGCTGTATGGCCATGTTCCAAAAGCATTCTCTCTTGACGTTTCACCTACATCTATGACAGGCCTCCTCAGAAGTTGAGGGGGTCTGTTGGAAACTAGGCAGGTGGGGTTTATATATTTGTGGAATGCCCAGGGTGAAAGAAAGAACTCTTGTCTGCTTCAGGCAAGTGTGAATGTTGCAATTTACCACCTTGATTAGCATTTAATGGCCTTGCTGCTTCAAAGCCTGGCTGCGTCCTGCCTGGGGGATCTTTTGTTGGGAGGTGTTAGCCGGCCTTGATTGTTTCCTGTCTGGAATTCCCCTGTTTTCTGAGTGCTGTTCTTTATTTACTGTCCTGGTTGCGGATTTCAATGACTTCTCTGTGTAGTCTGACATGGTGGTTGTTACAGTGGTTCACCATTTATGTGTTCTTAAATAATATGCTGTGTCCAGGTTGGTTCATCAGGTGCTCTGCTATGGCTAACTTCTCTGGTTGAATTACTCTTCAGTGCCTTTCATCTTCCTTGATTCGTGTTTGGTCGCTGTGTTTGGTGGTCCCTATGTAGACTTGTCCACAGCAGCATGGTTATGGTAGACTCCTGCAGAGGTGAGAGGAATCTCACTTGTCTTTTGCTGAACGTAGCATTTGTTGGACTTTCTTGGTGGGTCTGTAGATAGTTTGTAGGTTGTGTTTCTTCATCAGCTTCCCTATGCGGTCAGTGGTTCCCTTGATGTATGGTAAGAACACCTTTAAGCCTCACTGGACTAGGTTCCAACAGACCCCTCAACCTCTGAGAATGCCTGCCATAGATGTGGGTGAAATGTCAGGAGAGGATACTTCTGAAACATGGCCATATAGCCTGGAAAACTCAAAACAACCCCATGATTCCACCCATGAAAACCTTCGACAATACGTTAATTATAGTTTTTTGAAACAAAAGTCAGATTTTCCTAAAACACAGGCCAAAACCGACTTGTTTCAAACACATCATAGTTAAAGATTAGCTTCATTTGTCAGGGTGATACCTCAAACTGTGATTAATAAAAAAAAACTAAAGGAAAGCTTCAAAACATCTAGCAGCTATACTAGATAGGAAGAGAAGGAATATCTGGAAGGGCACACTCACTCCCACATCACATCAACTGTGGTTTATTATGAGATCCAGATATGACTACTGTTAAGATAGATTTTCTCTCAGAATGCATGCATAACTTATTCATTAAGAATGAAGCTAATATTAAAAAAATAATAGAGTAGCAAATGCTGATATAAAATTAATGATTACACTGTAAACCAAAATAAGGTGCAATTTAGGTTTGCTTTTTCTGAAGAATCATGATGAAGAACTTGTTTCATATTTGCAACAACTGTGTTACATGAGTCAAAAAACTCTCATTTTCTATTACTCAGGCCTTCCAGAAGGAACTAGGGAAGAGAACAAGCAGCGTCCAGGCTCTGAAACGCTCGGCCCGTGAGCTAATAGAAGGCAGTCGTGATGACTCCTCCTGGGTCAAAGTCCAAATGCAGGAGCTTGGCACTCGGTGGGATACTGTGTGTGCCCTGTCTATCTCAAAGCAAACACGGCTGGAACAAGCTCTCAACCAGGTAAGACAAACAGGATGAACTGAATTCAATCAGATATCCCATCTGCAATGGAATTTCTAGTTCATTTGAAAGGCATCACTATGATACAGCAAGGGAGGAGGCAAGGAGAGACTACTTTGTGTTGTTACTATTCCTTTTTATTTTCCCTTTGTGTTGATTGATGTCTGGGGTCACTTGAAATAATTGTGATGCACGCAATTTTCTTTATCAGACATCTGACTCAGAAGTGGGTGTGTCATCATGGGCATTGTCCATTTATCATTCACATGAAAATATATATTACAGTAGTCCATATTGCACTGCTTGGAGTAAGTTTGGTTTAGTCCAGGCATTCTTTTGAAGCTTTGCTGGAATTTATGACATCAGTTTGACCAACAACCATTGAGGGACGCCCACAAATTGAAGATGTCACTGATCACCAGAAACAACAACTCTGTAATGATAGTGGTTCCAACTTCCCAACTGAGAAGCATAAATTATCTCCCCCCATCCCGAAGTAGTTGATATCATTCATTAACACAGCTATACCTGATAGGTTAAAATGTGTCAGTGTGTGCTTGAGTTGCTCTTAATGTATATTTCCCATATTCCATTCATTATGTATTTGAAAGCATTTACAAAACGGCCCTTGGACTCTCTTTTGTTTTTTAAAAAGAAGTGTGTTGCATTTTTGCAGTACTTGTCATGAAGTTTTCTATATCAGATTCCTTAATGGAAAGTTACTGTGCTTTCATTGCTGGATGATAAATGGTTCTGCCAGTCTGGGTACAAGTTCATGGTTCACGGGAGGAATCCAAAACTATACTGTTTTCCTGTCCAGATCCCTTTTAGAGCATTTCTCTCTCCCCCACAACCTCCACTTATGCAGGCTGAGGAATTCCATTCTGTTGTCCATGTACTGCTGGAATGGCTGGCTGAGGCAGAACAGGCCCTTCGTTTCCATGGTGTCCTTCCAGATGATGAGGAGGCTCTGCGTGGGCTCATAGAGCAGCACCGGGTGAGCAAGATAATTAAGACAATGTTGGCTCTAAAGGCTAGGCATAATTAAAATTCAGCTATTTGTGTCCCATTAGTATTTGGCAGTGATTTTTCCCCCAGCACAAGGGCATGAACAAATTAAACTGACATTCTCCATACACAACTGATAAATGAATCAGTAGAAGCAACTTCAAATTAAATTGCTTCCACATCTATATTAGAGTGAATGGTATCCACAGAAATGTAATAATTTCAATAAAAACACCGAAATATTTTGAATTTTGGTGTAGATCACATTATTGTATAGATGAAAAAATATTCAATATACATGTATTTAAATGATTGAAAAATAAGTTTCTCAAATCTCAAGAAATACTTGATAAGAAGAATTCTAGACTGATTAGAATATTTTCAGCTTGGGACTTAATTGTATGCAAAATTTGCACGTGGTTGTTTTACATGGAAATAGCATTGTGCACAAGACATTTTTCATGCAGCAAATAATATTTATTTATTTATTTTTATCCCACTTTTCTCCCACGGATGGGACTCAATAACATTTTCAGCACATGAAATGTTATTTCTTACATGTTTATTCCACTTGAATTTTTATTTTGCAAACTTTGAACATGAATATTTTGCAAAGGAAACGTTTTCTGAACAAAATCAAACCTTGTGTGCAGAATTTTTTTCTGTATGGAAAATGCTGTTTGCTACACAAAAATACCATGTACAGATTTTGCACACAAAAATTCTAAAATGCTAATAATATTCAAAACTTGCAGTATTCAAAGAATATCTTGCATCAGAAAATAAAATTCTTTAAATAATTATGCCTTTTTGAGAAGAAAATCAGCAAAGAATTACATTCCCTAGACCTCACCTGAACAACAGAAATCGAATAGAATTCTGCTAGCATATTTATTATATTTTTGCTACTCTGAGTACACTGTATTTTGTCTCCAGTGGGTTCCACAAAAAAAAAAAACAAAAAAACAACAACATGAAGAGTCAAGAAGAGTGTATAGAGGTGTAATTAGATCAATTTAGGATTGCTACAACTTTTGTGCCAAAGGCCCATTTACACCCCGCTGAAGATGTTCTTATCCCCTTGGTGATACCTACATAACATGCCCTAAGCCATGTGCAACTTTTGACAAGCCTCCTGCCCATACCAATTTCACAGTTTTAATACAGATCATTTTTTCTCACCATTTTAAGGCCCCATCTACACAGGGATAGGAAACAGATTAACCTGAGGTATCCAAATGACGTTTTAGCTAATTAATTTCAAGCTGAATTAAACCTGCTTATCCAGGTTTATTCTAGCTTTAAGAGATACTTGCTAAAGTGTGGATCTTACTGAAAAATCTGGAACTCTGCAGGCTTGGAGGCCATGTGGACAATCTCCTTGGATCTGCATTTGAAATCCCAAGAGGCAGTCCCCACAACCATTCCTCTTCCCCAGGGTCAGGCAGCCAGCCTCCCCTCCATACCTCTCGTTTGGTCCTTAAATTCAAAGGGAAATCCTCAGAAAGAGCCATAAGGCTTGCCTTACTTTCCTGGAGAATGGAAAATTAAACTAAAAACCTTTGGAAGGGGGATTCCTCCCTCCCCTCTTTAGTTTCATTTTCCAGACTCCAGGAAGGTAGGGCAAGTCTTGTGATTCCTCCAGAGGCTTTCCCTTTGTTTTCAGGAACTGAGGGGCAGGGAAGAGATGGGGGAAATCACCATCCCTACCCCTACTGATTGTGAATCTCCAGGGGTTGGTAATCTAGCCATCCCCCAGCTAAAAAGGTGGTATTTCAGCCCCCCACCCCACCCCACCCCCGGCCAAGAAATGCAAAGAAAACCACCGGTTTTCTTCGCATTTGGGCCAGTGTAGGAGGGCCCTAAGCGACAGGGAAAACGAGAGCTGTATGGGATGGAAAAATTGATTTCCACCTACTATCCTGAGACATCTCTTTAACCGTGAAAGAGACATTTTCTTTAACCATGAAAGAGCATTTGATATGAAGAAACACATACTGTATCTTCATATGAAATGTAGTGGATTCTCTACTTTTGGGACTTGGTGGAAATTGTTTGTTGTTTGTGCATTTGCTTCTGGGAATGAGAGGTTAATGGAAAGAGGATGGCTAGGATGTAAACCTTTAGGAATGAAATGGAATGGAATCTGAAGTTGAATTTTGAACTTCCAACAAATTTGGAATGACTCTGTAAAACACAGATATCCATAAACAGACCTGCCAAGGACTTGCACCCACAAGTGTGACTTCCTTGATTTGATCAGTCCAATTGAAATGTCGTCTTCATCTTTTATGTTGGTCAGACTGAGATAAATAAAAACTTTTTTCAAAATGCTGAGAAATTGGGTGTCCATCACAAAAAGGGTTTTGATTCTTAGGAAAGTTGAAATGTAAGTGAATAAGGTACAATGAAAAGACGCCACTAGCTGTTTACATTGACTTAGGATTGATTCTGTCTAAAGGGAGATTGCCATTCTTAGGAACTGGATGCAGTTGGTTGTCTTCGACTAGATCTACATTGCCCTATTTCCTCCTTATCCCAGATTATCTGGCATAATCTGGGATATAATCCAGTTCAAAGCAGATAATCTGGGGTCACATCCTGAGATATAGGGCAGTGTAGATCCAGCCTTTGGCTTCTTTCTCACCAAAGACAAATCAAATGCAAATGTATACACTTGTGTACATACATGTATGCCATTCCCTACTTGGAAAAAGCCAATGCCTAAACATTTGCACAAATAATACAAATAATCATTGCTAAAATGTAAACAGCCTTTTTGGAGAAGCTGTGTAATAAAATGTGTTTAAACACAATTTATAGTTTGGAAAGTCTTCAAAGATATTTTAGTCTGAGACGAGCAGCTGTGGCAGACCTTTGAAGGAGACTTTCTAGGTGTTCTTAAAGTGGCCTACAACTAGGTGAATTCTGAATTTGTCATTTCCATGTTTCCCAATCTACAGTATCTTGGAAGCTTCCTGTTGGTAAGCTAAAGAGTAGGGTCTAGGAAGAGGCATCATCAGAAGGAGAAGCAGTAAAGGATCTCTATTGTTGTAGTTTTGTCCCAAGATGCAGGATCTTGGTCTATGTTTTCTATAAATACCAGTATTTATGACTTTTGAATTGCCTAATTAAAATGCTCCATTGTGAATATTAAAAATAGTAACCAAATCTCTTTTTGAGATGTTAATTTTTCAGCAAAATTATTTTTAAAAATAGCTCTTACATAGACATCATGGTATTTAGGGAGGAATAACTAGCTTAATTAGTTATGGTTCCTTTTAGTTCATTTTAAATGATAAACTGTATTTAAGTTATTAAGTAACTGTTTTAATTATTTTAAGTAACTGTTTATGGAATATTTAGGTGAGTGCTCTAATTCATTTCTTTCTGATATAATAAATTATGCCAACATTTCCAATTTACAAATAATGAATTACTCATACTAAAGCATTTTCTTTCAAAAGGCTGTTTTATATTTAATTAGCACTTATATAATATTTTTGGGGTACATATTTTAGACAATAGTTTTGCTTCTGATTGCCATCTTTGGAGCTAAAAGATGTGGTGCGTTAATGCATTTAGTTAGTGAGTAAAGAAAATCTATTTATACTTTTGTGCTCTCTTTGCCCTAGCCCTCTTGCTTCATTAGTCCAAATTGTCATAAATCTTTTTTCTTGTAAAAATAGTTTACATCCATTATTCATTTTCTAGTCATCACTATGCAGCCTAGGGATGTAGATCATTATTTATTTCATTTGCACACTAAGAAGAAAGAATTTTAAATGCATTCACAAAGTGTCATTTTTCAGTTACTATTTTTACTTGTTTCCCCTTTAACAGAAAATATTGATGTTGAGCACACACACACACACACTTTTAAAATAAAACCTGTGTATTAGGCATAAAATGATATATTGTATAAAACCTCTCTTTGTAAAAACAAAACAAAATAACCCAATGTTGTTAGGGGCAAACAAAAAAAAAAAGGCCTGAAATGAGAAAAATCTTTCAGTTTCGCTTGTATCAAGATATCTTAGTGTGTCATTACACTTTTTCTTGTCAAAGATGAAAATATTTTGAGTATTCTTTATATCACTAGTGATCTTGGAAGAAAGAAGTGCTTTTCTAGATGTCCAGAAAACTACTGTCATGTATCAGGCTTCTGTATACTTAACATGCTTAACAATATGGGCTCATCCAGACAGGCCCATATGCTGGAACCTGTCTCAGTTTTACCGGAGGCATCTAAACAATGCCTCCAGTAAAACCAAATTAATTTGGAATGAAGCAGGGTTTTAATTACTTATTTAGATATCACATTGGATCCAGGCCTTCCTGAAAGGCTCGGGTCTAATGGGGTATTGGGTCTGTGGGGACTCAATTGTGAGTCCCCACAGCCATCTCGCTTCTTTGGGCTTCCAAAAGCCCAAAGAAATAAGATGGCACCTCCACCCAGCCCCCCATTTAACCTTAAAAATTAAGGAAAACCTTCCTGGCTATCATAACTTTGCTCCTCGTGCCCTTGTGACATGAGAAAATGACACACCAGGAGTCCGAGAAGGTTTTGTGGGTGGGGTGGGGACAGGAATCTGTGCCAAAACGGGCTTTTTAAATCCGCTTTTGATCTGATTTTGGTGCCGTCTGGAAGTGCCCTATGATTCCAATCTACCTAGACCAGGGGTCCTCAAACTAAGGCCAGGGGGGCGAATACGGCCCTACAAAGTCATTTACCCAGCTCTCGCTCAGGGTCAATCTAAGTCTAAAACGACTTGAAAGCACACAACAACAACAATTCTATCTCATCAGCCAAAAGTAGGCCCACACTTCCCATTGAAGTACCAATAAAATTATATTTGTTAATATTGTTTTTCATTTTAATTATTGTATTGTTTTAAGTGTTTTTTGCACTACAAATAAGGTATGTGCAGTGTGCATAGGAATTCATTCATGTTTTTTTTCAAATTCTAATCCAGCCCTCCAGCAGTTTGAGTGACTGTGACCTGGCCCTCTGTTTAAAAAGTTTGAGGACGCCTGACCTAGGCAATCAATATATGGGACTGCCAAACCCCTATGTTTGTTTCTCTGTTTCATAACAGCCCTGTTCCACAAGCTGTGAGCTGGAGACATTTAAACTTGCCTTCCCTGTCTGTTGAGACATAGGGCACAGCTACAATGATCACTTAGGTTCAATGGGCCCCAGACCAACCTTGCCCTGCATTAACCAATTTTAGGGGATAATCTGAACTCTGGCCCAGAATTTGAAGTATCCCCAGGTGGCCAGGGGACATCTATGTTGTGGTAACATGGATCCTACTATTTACCACCACCTGCAGTGACATCTGCCAGGCATGAGGGGGGAAAGGTAGCAAGGCTAGGGCAGTTCCAGCTCTCCCCCATCCTCTGTCACCTCAGCGTACACCACTGTAGGTGATTGACAACAGGTAGGACCTGTGTCATGGCTGGAGACTGCCATGACCTGGAAGACAAGAGGGGACAGTAAGGGTAGCCATCCAGCTAGGTGGTCAGTATCTCCATTGCAAATGACATAGGGCCTGTCTGACCCATATCAGGGCGTATCGGTATACACCACACCAGATCGGCCCTGGTTTAATTGATACTGTAGATCTGCCCATAGGGATTGCTGTAAGATGGCGACTGAAATGAAAGCATCTCCCATCCAGTAATGGTCACCAGTCATTGGTTTCTAGCAGTTGAAGAACTGGAGTTTATGAAGCTAGTGAATGATGTCTCACTCATATGCCCAATCTCCTCTGCTAGGTTATGGACAAAAATAGGTGGGAAACAAGCAGCTTCAGAGCCACATCTGTGTCCACATGCAGTCTTAGGACCACAATTTGTGTACTCTGCTCTAACACATTTCTTTTTTTTTCTTAGTAAGCAGTTGTTCTTGTTGTTGTTTTTTAATTGCCTTTTCTGCTAAATTGTGAACATTACTGTTGTTTTATTCTTGCTCTTTTCCCTGCCATTCAGTCTGCTTAGGCACTGAATGATTCATTGTAAGCATTTGTTCTCTTTGACTTAGCCAGCCAAGTCTGAAGTTACATGGATTTTCTCTTTGAACCGCTGCCAATGCCTAATTGAAAATCACTGTTTCTGCCTTAGGAATTCATGAAGAAACTGGAAGAAAAAAAGGCTGAGCTAAATAAAGCCACAGGTATGGGGGAAGCTGTCCTGGCTATCTGCCACCCAGACTCCATCACTACCATTAAGCACTGGATCACAATAATCCGAGCAAGGTTTGAAGAGGTCAGTCCAACTCAAGCAGTTCTCTGTGGTAATAATCAGTCTTTGACAGCTTGGAACATGAGCAGCAATTACCAATGCTGCTGTGTTGTAAGGAAATGATCCAAATGTCTAGAGCAAAATGTTTGACATACCCTTACTGGCTGTTTTTTCACTCTTCTTTCATAGCCATAATTATGAGATAGGAAAATGAAGTATATCTGGCCCCATGTCAGTTGATGGTCAAGGACAGTTTCTTGTTCTCTCAAAATAGAGGCATTTTGAAAAATATATTTCAAAGTGTATAGTAATAATATGATTAAAAAAAATCTGTCGCCAGTGGTTAGCAATAATTGTGTTACTATCAGGAAAATTTTTAACAGATGTCTGAGTGCAAAAATTCTGCATAAAAAAACTGTGTAACAGATAGTAACATGGCAGTCTTGTTTGTAAATATTTAAAGATGCCGATGTACATTTCTGTAACTTATTAAGATATATTAGCAAATAATGTACATCCGTACCTCTGAAACTACAGACATCTAAATGATCACTGGGAAATAATTGGGAAAGTGTAACATTAATTTTACTCTACTATGTTTATCATCTTCAGAAGCATCAGCCATGAGGAACCCTCAATCATCACATCTTTGGCAAATCCTTATCTGATTCCATTTAGTATAAGTAGAAATTAATCATAATGCAATATACAAAACAAGCTATGTGCACCATACTTAAGCACATAATTATTAAAGATTTCTTTATGGAAATATGTCCATTAACTGCAAATTGTAAAAATATAATTACATAGTAAAATATTCAAACATAAGCTATATATAACACTTCGACATGTACTTAAAAGTTAAGTGTAGTTAAAGCTAAATCTTATTGTTAGATTCAGCTAGAATAAACATATTGACTCAATAGCTGAATAGTCAGCACTTATGTAAAGCCTTTTGATTCAGTGGGTCTACTCTAGTTCAGATTAGCAGTTGATTATTTATTATTATTTAATTTATTTACAGTATTTATACGCTGCCCTTCTCACCCCTAAGAGGACTCAGAGCGGCCTTACAAAAGGCAACAATTGGATGCCATATCAACAACAAATATAAAATAAACATCTACAGTAAAACATAAATTTAAAAGCCATAGAGAGATTAAAACACATTTTTAAAACCATGCAATCTGAGATCATAGTCAAAGAGCCATTCCAGATATCATTGCACATTTTCCATCATCACTTATTGCACTGCACTATTGACCAAAGGCTTGGTCCCAGACCCATGTTTTTACTTACTTTCTGAAGGTCATGTTATGGGCCAATAACTTTTTTGTTGATTATCTGTACTTTCTGGGGTACATATTGTACGGCCCAGCAATGCTGTTACTTGTCAGTCTTTTGATAATGAAGCCAAACTTGTTTACAAGGGAGGGAGGAAATGCAAAAACTTTGGATGTTACGGAAATTAAAATAGACTGTTGTTCATTTCAAGGTGTTAGCATGGGCAAAACAACACCAGCAGAGATTGGCAGGGGCCCTGGCTGCACTTATCGCTAATCAGGAATTGTTAGAAGCCTTGCTGTCCTGGCTGCAGTGGGCTGAGACAACACTCACCGAAAAAGACAAGGAAGCCATTCCTCAGGAAATCGATGATGTGAAAGCACTCATAGCTGAGCATCAGGTAAGGGAACTGTGGATATGCCATAGCCTCTGATCAGTCAAGTTTAATATCTTCAACCTGTGGGCATTTTAGAATTCATGCAGACATTTTTAAGTAAAATATTTTGAATTCTGCATTGTTCACATGAGTTTTATTTCATTGCATCTTAAATTTTATTTATCTTTTATTCATATTGTTCCATTGCTACAGTCAAAACTAAAAATGACAATAGCAAAGAAGAACAGCCTTTTCTTTGAGGTGAATTTTATAGGTATATTTTTAATAAACAAAAACAAAAGTTTGTTCCATCCTTGCAGAATTTAAACCAGTGGAGATTTTGACAGTGAAATTGCTTGTTGTCTTAGAGCACTGGTTCCCAACATGTGGTCCGTGGACCACCAGCAGTTCGCAAAAATGAAAATATGGTCCGTGGCCTCACCATTACTACACTGGTGCCTCGAAACCACATGGCAACAAGAGCAACTGTTCTTGCGAAACCCTCTTATAGTGCTGAGGCAACGGGGGTGTTGGGAAGGGAGAGGCTGACTACCTACAAAAAATTGCTACTACCACATCAGCTGCAGATGGTGATTACTGGATGGCATATGTTCTGTATCAGAAACTAGAGCTGATGTAGTCTATCTAATTCAGTTTTCTGAATCAGCACCCCCAAATAACCATACCAAACCTAAAGTTGACTAAAAACTTATTCATAACCCTTTTGGTATTATTGTTGGGGAGTGGTCCCTGATCAAGTAGTCCTTGGTCAAAAAAAGGTTGAGAACCACTGCCTTAGAGAATAAAGATACGAGAAAGTAAACAAACAAATTGAATCCATTTACCATTGAGGTTGTATCTGTTTTGTACATGACATTTTACAATGTTTCTTAGAGTAATTCTCAGAGCATATATTCCCTTAAAAGACGGAAAACAGAGAATCTCCTTTTTTGGTAAGTCAATATATTAGGCTGATTTCACCATGATGCTTTGTAATACGAGATTAATATGCCTTTTGTAGAAAATATTAAATCATGACCCTTGAGTAATAGCAACCAACAATAATTCAATTTTAACATAAACATGTGGGTCAGGAAGCTTCTGCTTCTATTGTTGTCTAGATCATGCCAAACAAAATAATTATGTAGGCTTCCTGATGTTATAAAAGATACACTGTAAATCAAACTGATGTATGTATACCAGGAGAAAAGCAGTGTACGAAGCATAAGTTCTGTGTATTGTCCATTGTTATCCATTTTTCTCCATGGGCATGTCACTAATTATTATTGTGCACCGTTAGTCAAAGCAAGCTCCATTTAATTCCAGACATTTATGGAGGAAATGACCAGAAAACAGCCTGATGTGGATAAGGTTACTAAGACACATAAAAGGAAAACAGTTGAATCTGGTCCAATCCAGTCTCATATTCCTGTGCTGGATAAAGGAAGAGGAGGAAGTAAGTAATGATCTTGCCAAGGGAAATGGGGGAAGCATTGCATGCGGTCATTGACTGGTTGTTTATCAGATGTTAAGGCAAGGTCACCTTCCCATTTCTTTTTGTCATTTAAGACATGAGGAGGATGAACTAGAGGTTAACAGCTTGTGGCTTTAAAGTCTACTCTACTTTCCTGAGTTATGGTACCTGGGCGCAAAGTAGTTGTGTCTGACTCTTCTTTTTTACAGAGCAATCAATGGAATGGAAATTTGTCAGCTTTAGTATTGGGATTGGATTTAAAGCTCCTAGCACCTCAAAAAACGTATGGGGAGGGGAATGGCACGTCAAAAGTTTCGACAAAATGAGAGAAACTTATTTTGTTGCCACCACGGCATAAACTGTACACAAGATTTTGAGAAACTGTACAACTTTGCATGTTAAATCCTACACTCAGTCCTTTTTTTATTAATCATCACAGCTTTCTGAAGGGGGAAAAACATGGTTACATTGTTTTTGGCTATATACTTGGGAAACCTTCACATGCTTACATTATTTTTGGCTATATACTTGGGAAAAGTACAGAAAATGCAAAACTAAATTACATGCTATGTCCCTATACAAACAACATGGTCAAGCATTTGACATCATGGCTGCAGCCTTGCCCAGTTCAAAAGCTGCCAAATGCAAATGTGATGCAGCAGGGCAAAGCAAACTGCATCCACGTGTGATTTTTTTTTCTGTACTGGATTTAGCTCAATATTTGTATTGTGCACCTTTTTTGTACAACATTGTTGAGGTTTTTATGTAATAAACAACAATGTTACACAAAAAATGGGCACAAGGTTGCTTCTGAGAAAATATGCAGTTTTGTGGGTGAACTGAACAACCTTTATTGAGAAAACTGCATTGGAGGAGAGATTCCCAAATGAAAAATTGTTTAATTGTTCTTGACATAATGTTGGAACTTTTAAAGAATTGACATGTACCATTCCTACACAGAACTACTGTAGCTTTTGAAACAAATAAGCATACATGTTATATTATCCTTAGCTTGTAATATTTTGAAAAGCAAACAAAAGCAGAATTAATGATTACCCTCCCTCTGTATTTCCATAGGAAAGCGTTCTCCAACACCAAGCATGTATCCTTCAGGTGCACAGACCCAGATTGAAACCAAGAATCCACGGGTAAACCTCTTAGTTAGCAAATGGCAGCAAGTTTGGCTTCTAGCCCTGGAAAGACGAAGGAAACTCAATGATGCTTTAGACCGTTTAGAAGAGGTAAGTAAACAGTCAATAATAATTGTGCTTTTTATAATTAACTTCTGGCTCAGATATTCTTTTTCAGTGATAGAGTGCCATATAGATATCTTTCCTGTATGGCATGGAAAAGGTCGTACAGGAAAGGTTGTCCTGTTTAATTGGGGTACTTACTTTGAAAGTAGTTGTTTTACTCCAGAAACTTTGTTTTTGTGAGATAGTCATTGGAAAACTGTAACAAAATATGCTGCAAGATAACCTGCAAAAACAAAAAAAAATGCAGTTAAATAAACTTTTTCCATGTTTTTATAATAGAACCAATTAGGAAATGGCATTTATAACCCAGGAACAAAACTCATGTTACATAGTTATGTGGTATCAGAATAGAGCAACCACCTATTCCTTTACTGCAGAAAGAGGAACACTGTCATCAGTAATATACGTGCTGGGAAAATATGATAATAATACAGCTTTTATGTTTGCAATACATACTCTGCAAATAAAAGAAAAACCTGTAATTTGTCCTTGAAAAGTTATGCCTTTTGGCATGAATATAGAGTGGCAGCTTCATTAGAAGATGTTTATCAAGCATCAAGATGAAAGGAGCCATCCACGTTTGTCCACCACTATAAAATTGGAACCGGCAGCTTATGGAAGAATAGTTCTTCAAGCCAAACATAAAAAACCAAGATTATGGCAACCAGAACGATTGATAACTGTCAAGTAGAGGGAGAAAACATGGAGACAGTGACAGACTTTGTATTTCTAGGCGCAAAGATTACTGCAGACGCAGACTGCAGCCAGGAAATCAGAAGGTGTTTACTTCTTGGGAGGAAAGCAATGACCAATCTTGATAAAATAGTGAAGAGTAGAAACATTACACTGGCAACGAAGGAGAGCTTGGAAAAGATAATGATGCTGGGAAATTGCAAGGAAAAAGAAAGAGAGGCTGACCAAGGGCAAGATGGATGGATGGTTTCCTTAAAGTGACTGGTTTGACCTTGAAGGAGCTGGGGGTGGCGATGGCCAAAAGGGAACTCTGGCATGGGCTGGTCCATGAGGTTGGAAGCGACTGAACGAATAAACAACAAAAATTCTCCAAACAGTCATGCTGCAGGATATAAGTTAGGCTTTGGAAATACCAGTGGTTGTGGATTTTTCCTTCAATCTACCTGAGAATGAGAAGCTGATACTTCCTAGGAATTATCATTCTAGAGCCTGAAGGAGCAATCCATCCCCATCCAAGATCTAACAATGTTAAGGTACAGGTAACAAAACCTTAATTTTCTATCTGTCCTACACTCCAGTGTAGGAGTATCCCAAGAATCAGGAGATTGGCATGCAAAAGCTGTCCAGTAGTTAATGCAGGGATGAGATGAATGGAAAAGCAAGATTCTGATCATCAGCCAGTCCAGAAGTTATACAGCAAGACAAACAAAGCCAGCAAGGAGTAGAAGCAAGTAGTCAAGCCAAGGCCAAGAAAGCATGTTGGATGTTGAAGAGTACTGCCAGTTACTAACAGAGAATGATTGAGAGCAGCAAAATTGCCAGTCAAATGCTGGGAGATTTATAGGCAGCTGTCTCAAGACATCGAGTGACCTAATTAATTAGTCACTGCCTCCTATTTAACAGCTGCTGGGATTGGCATAATCTCTCGTTATCTCTTCATCACTCTGCAAAGAATGGCAGTGTGTCTTCAACATCTGCAATCTTCTGCTTGGGAATAAAATCCATGTGCCTCAGCCCCCTTCTCTTCAGGAGCTGTGGCTTCCTGGCAATCTACCCCCTCCTCTGTCCAAAGACTTCAGAGGGTGAATTATGACACTATCTGTTCTGTCTCTGCTCAGTGTTTTCCTTCAGTTAGTGAGGATTTGTAATCAAACTGAGGGGAAAGAGAGGGGTCAATGAATTAGAATTCTGGAACTCTTGTCTCAATAGGCCGGCATGGGGAATTAACACACTGGTTGTGAACTGCTTCCTTCACCTCCCTAGAATGATAATTCTTGATACATATTGACTTCTCCGTTATTCCTAAAATAATGTTTTCTTTGTGTCATTTTTTTAAGCTGAGAGAATTTGCCAACTTTGATTTTGATATTTGGCGGAAAAAGTATATGCGCTGGATGAACCATAAGAAATCTCGAGTGATGGACTTCTTTAGAAGGATTGATAAGGATCAAGATGGGAAGATCACTAGGCAGGAATTTATTGATGGCATTCTTTCTTCAAGTAAGTTTCAAAGCAAAGGGTTGTTTTTTTTTTGTTTTGTCAGGAGCGACTTGAGAAATTGCAAGTCGCTTCTGGTGTGAGAAAATTGGCCGTCTGCAAGGATGTTGCCCAGGGAATGCCCAGATGTTTTACTATCCTGTGGGAGGCTTCTCTCATGTCCCCGCATGAGAAGCTGGAGCCTGCAGACAGATGGAAGCTCACCCTGCTCCCCGAATTCATACCACCAATGTTTTGGTCGTCAATCCTGCTGGCACAAGGGTTTAACCAAAGGAATTAAGCAACAGTTAGTTCTGTATATAAATTATCATTGAGTGCAGATGCCTGCATCTTTTGACTCTCTTTAGAAATTGAGTTTGTAAAGAAGACTGATCGGGAAGGGAACATGATAATACTCTTCAATGTTTCTCACATATAAGGAGGCAAAAACATGTCCAGCAGGATCTAATAGGCTTAAATTAAAAGAATAAAACTTTCAATCATGTAGTTCCACAATTGTGCCTGTATCCTAGCCTAGTGCCCGGTAATCTATCCATAAAGGTAGTTACAGATTTCTTACATTCAGCTAGCGGTTAGACATGGCGGCCTACAAGGCCTTTTTGGGAGATCAGTTGTCCTAATATGTTTGTTTTTTGGTCTACAGAATTTCCTACTAGTCGATTGGAAATGAGTGCTGTAGCAGATATCTTTGACAGAGATGGTGATGGATATATTGACTATTATGAATTTGTAGCGGCGCTTCATCCAAACAAGGATGCCTACAAGCCTCTGACGGATGCAGATAAAATTGAAGATGAGGTATTCTTCCCCTCCTCCTTTTGCAAACGTGCTATGTGCTGGAATTCCATAACAATTCCATCGTCTGATCATTTTCATGTTGAATTCCATCAATGTTTAATTCTGGAAATTGGCAAGTAGTATAATATTCTGATTCTCATTTTGACAGGTGACAAGGCAGGTAGCAAAATGTAAATGTGCAAAGCGATTCCAGGTGGAACAAATTGGTGACAATAAATACAGGGTAAGTATCAAACACCTTCTCACGTTGTGTATTCATTTCAACTCAGATATTCAGAACAGGAATATCAGGACATTTTGTTTAAATTAGTTAATACAGTGTTACTTTATGCTTTTTCTAAAGTCTAAAAGTTGAACCAGATTACATTTTTGACCAAGTGAAGTGTATGTGAATATTTGGTTATTTTAATAAACAAAATGTTGCTGTGCCACTGAAATCACAAGGAACGTGTTCTGATCAACAGTTTAAAGTTTAAAGAACTCCCCCAAAATCTTTCTTCTGTTGAAACTTCCAATACATGGATGATGGCTTAATTTTAACAGCATGTTACATGTATTTTGGTACCCACAACATCTACATCTAACTTGACCTGCCCAACTCTCAACTACATGCCACACATATATGTTTATTAGAGTTTGTTCAAGAGTCATGTAGAAGCTTTGCTGTTCCACTAATTATGTCTTTTTCCCATTTTCCATTTCTTATCAGTTCTTCCTGGGAAATCAGGTATAAACAGTGGAATGTGTTATGGAGTTCCTAGTATTCTTTTAATCTTCATTGCAGCTTGCAGTGGCTTTTCCTTCCCTATCCTTTCACCCTGAGCTAATTCATTGTTGGTCAGCTGTGGTGCCTCTCTGGAAATGCTTAACAGGCTTCCTTGTCTTGGTATCTGCCTTTGTGCCTGTTGCTGCCTCATTAATGAGATTACTTTCAAGGGAACCAGATAATAGTCTACAGCTGGCAGTGCAAATGCCTTTAGGCACTCTTCCTATACCTCTTGTTATTCTCAATATATGGGGTATCCTTTAGGTTTTCATGCTGCACCCACTGTCGGATATTCCACCAGTATACCACTTTTTAAACCTTTAGTAAAGGACCAAGACATTCAGGTAGGAATTGAATATAGAAATTGTGTTCTCATCCCTTCCCCCTACCCAAAGTAATTGTGTGGTTCAGCACATTTCAGGCATAAGGAAATTGGACTTTATTCTATATCAGTGGTTTTATTTTATTCTATATCAGTGGTGTTTTGGACTTCAGTTCCCACGATTCCTAACAGCTGCTAAGCTGGCTGGGATTTCTGGAAGTTGAAATCCAAATCATCTGAAGGACCAAAGGTTGGGAACCACTGTTCTATATGCAAGGAGGTGGGAGTGCCAGCTCTTACTTCTTTATTGTTTTTCTCCATCATTCTGAATACTTGTAGAATAACAGTCTGAAGAGCTGTGCCTCTGTGTTCTCCATGTTGTTTGAAACTGAGGATAACCAGAATTCAAACTCATGTGGAAAACTTTCACAAGTGGCAGAGCTGCTCTACGTCCATGCACAGAAGGCAATGGGAACAGACAGCAAAGGGCTAGTATGCCTTTCTTCTCCTGGGTGAGACTTGTTTTGAGGAACAAATGAAGAGCAGTGTGTTATGTCTTAAAGTAGTGGTTCTCAACCTGTGGGGGGTCCCCAGGTGTTTTGGCCTACAACTCCCAGAAATTCACCCAGCTTACCAGCTGTTGGGATTTCTGAGAGTTGGAAGCCAAAACATCTGGGGACCCAAAGGTTGAGAACCACTGTCTTAAAGCCAAGATGGTGTCTTTCAGAAAAGGAAGAGCAAAAGAAACAAGTCTTCCTCTCACCAATGGTCACAATGCCTGCTCACAGTGTATGGTGAATTTAGGTTGATACTTGAAATGCATTGATATATTGAAATTCAGCAATTAAATGGATTTGTGGCCTAAGATGAATCCATAATATGTCCTACTAAATCAAATCGTTAACCCTAAGCCAAAGTTGACCTCTTGAATGAATCAGTCTTGTTAAGTCAATCTTTATGTTAGTTCCATTGATTAAATGAACCTGTTCATGGTCAGAGTAAGGACTAGATTTAGCTCAATCAATAACATGTTTTCATTCCAATTTCCTTTCCAAGAACAATTCAGGAAGAGCCATGTCAAAGCAAACATTTTCCAAAAGCTTCCCTTGAAAAACAGTTGCTGCAGCATAAAACCTTATTAAATGAAGAAAGTTGTTTTTTGTAAAGCCACATCTATGATTTCATATGATGCATGTTTCAAACATGCATTTGTGCTTACTTCTGGTATGCTTATTTTGGATTCGTTAACCTTACATGTTGACCTATTACTTGGTTCCCAAAAGTAATGTTCCTTTCCCTCTTTGCTTAAGCGGTACTTCAATAAATTATATTAAGAATTAAGGTCAGTTATATGGTTTGGCTATAAATTATTTACTGGGCAAGGCATGCTTAGGTTACACTGCTTATTTCAAAAAGAAAACACTGCGCTTTATTCCAGTTTGATTTTTTGTGGAGAACTCTTATGTATCCCAGTGAAGGAACTAGCTTTTCATATCAAAATAGTCCAGATGCAGTGATCCCAAATTACTTTTTAACATTTTAAAGTCATCACATCCTAGGAACCTATAACCGAATTTGGGCAATAGGTATTGATGGATTAACTTGACAACAATATAAGTGTAGTCTGGTTATCTACACTGTATTTTTAATTCCAGCGTGCAATAAAAACTGAGGCCAGTCACAACTTCTCTCATTTTTCTTTGTCTCTATTGTTGTGCCCTTTTTCTACTTGGAAGATAGCAGTAACACCATAGGTCACCAGAATACCGTAGATGACCAAAATGCACTATGGCAAATTTGGTTTGATTCATAACAGTATGTGGTACATTAGTAAAGACATTTGGAATTTTGGAACCACATTTTATTTCAAAAAGAGCAGGTTTGAAATGTATATATAAAGCTCTTGTGAGTATTCATACATTACATTTTAAGAGACTTTCTCCATTAATTTGGTTCAGACAATCACACCTAAGCTTCATATGCACAAGCCTTTTCACCATGCATCCTGACATCTATGACCTCTTCTCAATTCCCATTGTAGCAAAGTAAAATGAGCCAGGAATTACTCAATGAATCATAATTCCCACTTGCATCCAAGACAGAGAATTTTATTTTCAAGTTTCAAATTAAGCAGGAATCTAATCCACCTAAACGTTAATTTAAGTGGCTTGTTCCCTACTTAACAAACATGGGTTCCTAGTTTAAACACAATGGGAAATGAGGGTTTACTGGAGACTCATGAAATTGTCACAAGCCTAGAAGGGAGGAAAGGGGCTGCTTACAGGAAGCACAATGCTTTTTATATATATTTCAATTTAATGATTGTCCAAATGCACCACTATATATACATTACTATTGGGTCAAAAAGAGTAAACGGGGCCATAAAAGTGAGTGGCGCAATGGCTGATAGCACTTGTTTATAATTGTACAAGATAGCTGCGCTGCTTTCATGTATGGTCAGTCCACCAGCCAGCTATGCAACGGGTTTGAAAGGTCAATTTCCTTTTATTATTTTTTCCACTTGATTGATCATTTATGTAAGGAGCTCACAAAATTTGTGTGAATGTGTGTACACCTGTGTGCACTAAAACACATGGAATAAATGTTCTTAAGTACTACTTGACAAGCATGAAGACAGTTGCCCGAATGCACCATCCCTAACCCTCTCCCACCTAAACGCATGTTTTGTATGATGAGTCTGGCTAACGGTTTCCAAGTACACAGACCACACAAAGTGATAGGGTAAGAGACCAAAACAAGGCCTATTGTGGTATTCAGGATACCACTACTTGGAGATCAGAATAAATCTGTCCCTTGCTCCTGTTCTCCCCTCCTCGATTGATATTCTCTTTCCACAGGATCTGGACCTCTGAAAATCAGGGTTTCAGATTGCATTAAGAGACAGAGTACATGTGTAGAGGATGCTCCACCAGCATTCTCCGCATAAAGAGAGTAATAATGGAGGAGATGGAACTAGCACTGGAGGAGATGAAATGATGGCTATCTTGTGTATGCTTACAAGCTGATTTACTGTAGTGAGACTGAATATTTTTAATTATATGTTAAAGGACTTAAAAGATTAAATAGATGTTGAATTGGACCAAGACCTAGTTTAGACTGACTGGAATCAATGGATCTTAGGTTAACTTAAATTTGCTACTGTTCCATTATCTGGGCAGAGGCCAAAAGGAAGCCTAGTCAGAGAAGTATAGTCCATTTTATGGGGGGAGGAGATGGAAGGGGTTAAAACATTTCCCGTCTTTTACTGTATTCCACCCCACCTCCACCACCACCACCCATATCGTCATCAACAAAACAACCCTTGTTTATGAAATGGGAAGTGGGGAGGGGAAATATTCAGCCAAAACAGGGAAAATTGTTTTCCTCCTTCAACTCCCCCCCCCCCCCCCCCCCCAATAAAATGTACTATCCTTCTCTTCCTAGGCCTCCAATATGTCTGGTTCCAAACACATTAAGATGTCTAGATAAAATAGTGTTCAATATATCTGTCACCTTAACTATAGTAATGCTAGTAGTTGGTAGGAAAACTGAGGACTGCGCATAGAAAAACACAATAGTTCCACCTTGGGAATTTCACCTGTAACAGAAAATGTTTGAATCCTTCAACTGTATTTTGTTACATTACACAACATTTGGAGAAACCTTCAGCCACAGAATCTGACGGGGTAACTTTTCAGAAGGCATAAAGGTTAGAAAAAGCTTTGAAGTTCCTCAATAATATTGCTTAGATCCCTTGTTTAAATGATGTTATAAGAGGTCAGCTTGCCCTCTATCTTATGATAACATCTATCTCATATTTCTTTGGAAATTGCCTTCTTATAAATAAAGTTGTTAGTTGAACATGTCAATTGAGACAATAACCTCACATGTTACATTGCTAATATTTCTCCTTTCAGTCCTGAAAGTGTTCTCCATTCCAGTCATAAGATTTCAGCATTAAATGAAAGCTAGCATCTTACCCATTTCTTCTACTTGCCTCTTTAGCTGACAAATCTCATTGCTTCCTTTGGTATTAATGCAACTGCACTTAACTTGGTGGTGGGGGGGAAATTGAAATTTTCACAATGAAAATATCTTACATGATTTTTCTACTAATGATTTAGGAGCATACTATGGCTACTTTTAACCACTTGGCTTGGAATGTGCATTGCTTCGTACAGCTTGGAGTATAGATGTCTAGCACGTTTTCCTTTCTTTTTGTACAGTTTGGTGACTCCCAGCAACTCCGTCTTGTCCGTATTTTGCGAAGTACGGTAATGGTTCGAGTTGGAGGTGGATGGATGGCACTGGATGAGTTCTTAGTAAAAAATGATCCCTGCAGAGGTATGTTGAAATGTGCATATAGATATGAACCTAAAGTTTACTAACTATATATATATATATATATATATATGTTTTCCTAGATTAATGGAATTGAGCGAGATGTAACAGTAAAATCTCAAATTTGTACATCCCTAGCTTAGTTAAACACGGAAGCACTTACACTGTTCTGCTCATACATCTTGCTGTTTTTATGGACTGCATAGTGAAGAAACAGTTAAATGGAGACTATTTTTCACTCACCGTTTAGAAACTAGGTCATTCACATTTTTTGCTTCCACTCCAGCAGGCCAAGAGAGTCATTGGAGGCAGAAATCACACATTCAGGGAACTTCTAGGCCTCTTCCTCTGCCATTGCTTATTTTTGTTTCCTCAGTTCCAGCAGTTACTTTTCCCTTGAAACTGGGAAGTACGGGAGCAGAGAGTGTAGTGGAGTCACCCTCATCATGGGACCAGTATGTAGCTAGGCCCATAGAGAAAAGATAGAGGTGAAAGGGACTAGCTCTTCCAGTGATTTAGGTCCAGTGATAGCTAATTTGGAAGAACAAGCCATAGAGCCAAAAACCTTTCAGAGTCCTAGCTCTATCTGCATATGATGTAGATGGGATGTGGTGGCATAAGATTGTACCAACCTGGCCTATCCAAAACAGTGGTTTAAAGATGCAGATTCTAGAATGAGTGCTATCTGTAGTAATCGTTTTGGAAAAGAGTGTCATTTTGATTTTTTAAATATCAGATTCCGCATATATTTAAAGCTGAGATTGGAAAGCTTTTCCTTTTAGGATTGCCACTTTCTGATTTCAGAAATATTGTTGCTTGGATGGAGCCATAGCAAGAAACAGAAGAAGTCGGTAGCAAAATTTCTGTTTCTCCCCTTGCTGGAAGGGATGGATAAACCTGGCAAGTTCAATGTCACTCAGGCTGGATCTACACTGCCATATAATCCAGATTATCAAATCTGATTGTTTGTTTTGAACAGAATTATATGAATCTTCACTACCATATAATCCAGTTCAAAGCAAATAGTCTGAATTTTATATGGCAGTGTAGATGTTCCATTCTGTTTGATTTAGTACATTCTGTTTCTACCTAGGATTGCCAGCTATATTGTTTGGTTTTTAGGCCTGGCCTTGGGGCACTGATTCAGAAAACTGTACTGGAAAGACTGTGTTGTCTTTAGTTTCTTATTATAGTCAAGGAGTTAAAGACTGGTATATGGCATATGTTCAGTATCTCAAAACTGAGGGGCAAAATCCTAACCTTACCAGTTCCACCTCCCATACAAATAGGCAACACTTGCGCTCATATAGGCTTAAAAGAGATTATGATGTGTGTTCAGGTGGTGGTATTCAGGTCCTGGAGATGGATAGGAGGATCACTTCATTGAAACTCTTTGTGAGGATTTCTCCAGGTTTCCAGGTTCTCCTCACATATTGTTGAGCACTATGATGTGCCTCAGCCTGTGGGATAGGAAAAGAAGAGAAAAGCCTGAAAGTTTGGGGTGTGGGGACTAAAGGAAGAAACCATGGTGCTGGCAATAGGTCAGAGTGTTTCAAAGAGAGTTGTGAATAGTATAAGCAATGTTATCACTTACTGGGAAAAATATTTCCCTTGCAAAAGAGATAAATCAATAGCACTCTTCTATTTTCACAATGAAGTATATTTTGTGCAAAAAAATTCAGCTGTTTGAGCAAAAAATGTTGGAACTTTTTTTCCAAAATGGTTCAACGTCAATTGAAAATTCCTCCAATCTCCCTTGCTGATTTTTTTCTAAATAAACCAAAATGATTATTCAAGCAAGCAAGATTCAAATAAGCAAAGATTTACACCTGTAGTTTCAAGTTCCTAATTTATATCCTGGGGTACTGTAATGACTTAGCAAATGGATTTCCAGACACTTTTCTTTCCTTTGTGGAAAGTGTACAAAGCCCAAATGCAAGCAAGTTGCTTAGCCAGGTAAGAATGTTCAAGTGGGATGGTAAGTAAAGTAGAAAGTATCTATGCATTATAGAGGGAAATGATATAAGCGGCTACATTATATTCCCCCCCCCCCGAGAATTCAGTGAAATCGTGTTAAGGAGTGAAAAATTAGGTAAAAAATAATGTTAGGAAGCAACAAATAACTAAAGATAATACTACTGGCATATAGTACGGTATTTTCTCATCTGTAATTAAAAATATTGGGAATAGGGTGCTGCACATATCAGTCTCATAAAAATCTGCATGTAGATTTTACACTGTGTCGGCCCATGTATTGTCCCCTTCCTCGGCTTATTTTAAAGGCCTGAAGCCATCTCATACATGCAGTCTGTACTTCATCATGAGCAGACAGGCTCAGAGTAATGTCTGGGAAACCTCTCCCTAGCCAGGCGCACAGTGATGACATCAGTGTCACGATTTGTGGGGGGTCCTCCAGTAGCCTCAGCGCTTCTACAGTCCAGTTGTGTGGAGATAACCAGATGCTTCTCTGCTCCTGTCTGCTTATGTTGAAGCATGGAATGCCTATATGAAGGGATTTGAGGGCTTTAGGTGTGCATGAAAAAAACGTGAATGCCAAACCCCAAAACACTTGAAAAATTGTACCTGAACATCTAAGAGAAACCTGCAAATACAAATACCACATCTTGAATTCTGGCATTAGGTAGAAAGAAATAGAAACCGTAATTCTTTCTTTTAGAACTTTGTGTTCGTTGCGATTAATTCTGGCTAGTTCATCTGTCATTTCATCAGATATAATTCAAAATACACTAGAAATAAGATTCCAATTCTATACTAATGAGAGAATATTACAAGTGCTGAGAAGAAGAATTATTTGTGTGGGTCCCATGAAAGTTATGCTTCAATTCTGTTTTCATTACATGCTGTTTGAATCATGTTTCACATTCCTGCTGTACTGAAATAAGCAAAAGCCACAGTATGCAAAGACAGCTGTAAACTGCATTGAAAATCCAGCTAATTCCATCACTATATCTTATATTCCACCTATTACTGTGAACATTAAGTATTATTAGCATGTAACAGAAAGTTAATCACATTTAGAAAATATTTCCTGCAGTAATATAATGAATTGGGATAAATATCTTTTTCTTTTTTGACTTGATAAAAAGACTGTTGATGGTATTTCCCTCCCGTTGCCTGTAATGAAAGCCTATGTTGAAATGTAAATATTTGTGCAAAATGTAGATTTTGTTAAAGCACAAATGTGCTACAAATGAAAGCATGGTCAAAGGGAACGTATGTTTTCTATATGTTGTGCCAAAGGGGTTTCTAAATCGCTTGTTATATAAATAGCTGTTTTTTATATGGATATTGTGACATTTTTGATGTAAGCCAGAAGAACAATATTTGCTGTATTTAAGTTGCAATAACTTGGGGAGAAGTTTCAAGTTATATAAACATCAGTGTATGGTGCCACTGTGGGAGATTTTGAATTTTCCTACAATAATGGATAGGCCTATGCTTTTTCTCACTTGCATACACCACACACAAAATACAGGTGCATTTTCGTGATGGTTTTAAAATCATGGGTTCATCAGAAGTTGTATTTGGCAATTTCAAAAGCATTACATAGATTTGAAAGAAGCTTTTGTCCAGTATATTGGAGGTACTTCATTTGCTGTATTCCAGATATACTTCCAAAGAGTAACACAGCTTTTTCAAGAAAAACGAAGCTAACCATGAGTGTGTTTTTCACTTTTTTTTTAATCATGTCAGAAGCAACTTGAGAAACTTCAAGATGCTTCTGGTGTGAGAGAATTGGCCGTCTGCAAGGACGTTGTCCAGGAGACACCTGGATGTTTTACCATCCTGTGGGAGGCTTCTCTCATGTCCCCGCAAGGGAAGCTTGAGCATCTCACGAATTTGAACCGCTGACCGGCAGAAGGGTTTTACCCATTGCACTACTGCAGCTCCTTGGTTTTCACTAGTAATTCCACAGAAATATTTAGCCCTATGTCGACCCACTGAGATAATACGTGATCGACACACAAGTTGTTGGGTTGAGTTAGTGATAGTGGTGGTGAGCCTCAATGGCGGCTAGTTTCCATTCTGTTCAAACACTGTTATGGTCTGTGATGTGCTCATTTCATGCATATTTAAATTTAAAAATCTCAAGATTGCACTATTTGTTCCACTCACATCTCTTTTTTATGTTGGCAGAGAAATCATTTTTCATTGACGCACTGGGGGCTCTCTGGAACTGAGATTACACTAGGAGTGTCTTCTTTTGCTTAAGAGAACGTGGTCTTGCTTAGGGACAGAGAGGGAGAACTTTTTGGTGACTTAAGCTCTGTCTCTTGGCCTGCAGCTTTGAATCTCTTGCATATGCAACTGCTGTGATTGATTTCTTCTCCTGCTAACAGTTTTCTTTTAATATGACCCATATCCTGTGTCATTTTTTCTAGTTCATCATCATGGGAGTAAAATGTTACGTTCGGAATCAAACTCTTCAATTACCACTCAGCCTACTATAGGTTGGCAAACCCCTCTCTTTGTCTCTCCTGTTCTTATTTTCTTTTCCATTTCTTTCCTACTCCACTATCTAATATATATTTGTAGAGAGCTATATATTTAACCAAATGCTTCACATACTACATTTCTTAGCTTAACACATGCTACACTGGCTGGTGCTTGAGAGCTTGCCTCTTAAATTTCCTTTGACACACTTGAAGAGAGTGTCTCAAAAGCAATTGTTATTAATGCAGAGAAAGCCAAAAGCTAACCTCTTTAACGCATCTGATCCCCATGGACAGTTTTCATGTTTGCCTCTCTCTACCTGCGTGTGTCTGTGCCCAGCATCCAATCACTTCTTTATAGTTTGGGAGTTTCTGTTTGTCATTGCATGTTGCTAAACCGCATTTCTTCTTAGTTTAGAATTAATATGGTTGATGCTTTTCTCTTAGCGTTTACTCATCCTAGCGAGCATCTTTTCCTGAATCATCTGAGCAGCAGTAGTGTTAGTCAAATGGGTCTTCGAAGTGTGTCTGTGCATTGGTAACCAAGTAGCATGTTGAGCCATTCCATTTTGCTGATTCATGTCAATAGCAGTTCATCTTTGCTGGCATAAAACGTTAGATACGCATATTCCTGAAATGAATGGTTTCTGTCTCAAACAAATGCATTACTCACTAATGTGTTTGGTTTGTTTGGCCTGATTGTTGAGGCTAGGCACGGCCGACGGCCCGTGAGGCGAGGCATGAAAATAATGAAGTTTCTCAACCTATCTCTTTTACTTTTTGTAGCAAAAGGAAGGACGAACATGGAGCTCCGCGAGAAGTTCATTTTGGCAGATGGAGCTAGCCAAAGTATGGCTGCCTTCCGGCCAAGAGGGCGCAGATCCCGACCATCTTCAAGGGGTGCTTCGCCCAACAGATCCATGTCTGTGTCAAATCCTCCTGCCCAAGGAGTTCCTGCACCAGCTGTTGCTGTCAGCACACCCAAGGTAACAATATCTGTGGGCAGCAATCGGTTTTTTAAAACAGAAGTACAGCCTTGCTGCAATTTGAAATATTTCTACCCTAGAATAATTTGCCATAATGCTACCCAAGGGTAAATTTGAAGAGTTTATTTTTCAAAGAAAGCTAACAATTTTTTATTGTTCCCCTTCCCCTTATAATTGCAGCGGTCATGCAAGAGTGGAAAAAAACATGTAAGCAAATTAGAACAAGAACAGACTTTTAAAAGAAAGATAAACCTTTCCCCTTCCACTGCATTTGTAAAAGCACACTGACATTCTCTTCCGTATAGAATGCTTGTTGTCCATTATTCCTGCCTTGTTTCAATGTCTTTTCTTTTTTGGCTTTTATTATGAGATTCATTCTCCATAATCTGATTATTCCTTCCCATGGCATTGTTTTCCATCAACTGCTCTTTGCCATTGTTTCATGCAGACACCCCATCATTTAACACGCAACTATGGTAAACCATGGTTGATAAACAGCAAAACGTCATCACCATGTAAGCCACCAGAGTGTTCTGAATATCAAGTGTCATCCACAGAGGTACAGTAATGGATGGATATTCTAGTCTAACAACATGTCCTGCACTAAAACTATATCTATCCTCTTCCCTAACAGTCACTACACTTCCTCGTCCAACTCTGCTGTACCTTACATATTAACGCACTCCCTTTGTTTTCAGCCTTCTATCCACCAATTTTATTTTCTCTCTTCTCAAGGCTATAAATTGATGGATTGTTTTAAGTATGTCTGAATTCTGTTTTGTTTGAGCATGTCTTAATTATAAATGAACAGTTCCATAAATGTGAAAAGTCAGTTTTATATAGGATTGCAGTAATCTCGTTTCCTTCAGACATATAGTAAAATTATATACCGCTTTGAGTCGCCCCAGGGGAGAAAAGCAGTATATAAGTACTGTAAACAAATAATAAGTAAATAATTATATGGCGTTCTGCTCCCTTCACGTTCTTCCTGAAATACAAGATTTCTGAAGTTCCTATATTAACATGAAGTGAGTCCAGTAGCCTTTTACCTGCTTGTATCTCATTGATGTAGATTTATTTATAGCACAGTCATACACAGAGTTAAGTGCACTGAAATGATATTTTGTGCACATTCATCTCTGGTTGGTTTATACCATTATTTGTTTATTTATCTCCTCTTTATGCTTGTCAAGAAAAATTAAGTTCCAAGGCTTAAGATAGGAAATGACATCAATGTACAAATTCAAAATTAAAACCTCTTAGCTTGCAATCAAACAAATTGCCAGGTGGCCTCCACATAGGATGTTGAAAAAGTGTTGCTCTACCAAGGAGATATTTATGCCACTGGTAACTTCAAGAATACTGGCAGGATGATCTCAAAGGACCTTAACATATTGGGATATATTCCATTTCTGATACTCTTTGAATGTGATTCCAAATGAGTCCTATCATTTGTCCAATTCCATCATGAACCCATTGGAATCCATCTGCAAATTGAGTAATTGCACATAGCATTCTAATTGTTTTTTTAAAATTTAATATGGTTCTGGGGGGCTGTTTTTATGCGTGATCGTAAAATCAGAATGCATTCCGTCAGCTAAAATCTCGCAAAACCAGGAATTTGAGACTTTCAGGCTACGTCACTATGCAATATTAGAAAAATAAGAAGTAATGTAGGGAGACATCGACATTTGAACGTATTGGGAAGATCCAGCCTTCCGTGTTGAAATGCAGTATTTTCAAAACATAAGAATCCGGTGTGATGGGGTCAGTATCCATCCCATCTGAATACAGCCTGCATCCAGTCCTAAAAAAAATGTGGGATACATACTGATATAACCAGTGTATATCCTAATGTGAGAAGTTCCTTAATGTAAATAAAGCATGTGGCTAAAGCACGGAGAGTACATTTGGGAGGTTGTGTGAAAGAATCTGCCAATCCCTTGTATCTACAAATACCAACCCTGTTCTTCCTCTGACTCACCCTAAAGAGGGGAGAACTTGCAGAAGCCCTGGACCTGTTGTAGTGATTTCCCCTCCTGCTGGTATCAAATACAGGACAAATTGAATGTTGGACCCGCCTTCCATTTTCTGGAATGACCACTGTAAACCAGAAGGATTTAAGAGTTACACTTTACTTCACCAGAGACCTGATGCTGCCCCACTGGATTGCTTTCCTACAGTGCACTAGGAACAAAGCCAAGCTCTGGCTTGGCAAGACATCAATAGAAGAAAGTTCCCCAAATTTAGGAAAACCTAAAAAAGAAAAGTTTGTCTTATTGTCCTTATGGTTATATGGGGTTGTGTAATGAAATGAAGTCAACATCAATTCTCTGGTGGCTTTCCATAATCAGTGGAACACTAGATAGATGGCAGCCACCAGGATGCTAAAGGGCAGCCCTTGGAAAGAGCCTAAGCTGTAATTTTTAGTTTGCAGCAAAACCAAAGCTAGAGTCCTATTGATATACAGCAAAGGAATAGTCAAAACCTAAATGCATTGAAGATAGCCTTTTCCTTTGATTTGACAAGAGAGAAGTCAAATTAAATCAATGGATTTGTTTTCATGTAGATGAAATCATATAATAGAGTTCTTCTATACAGTCACAGAAAATACTGTTGTTAGTGTGCAATTAAATAGAAAACATCAATCTTTCACGTTTTCTTTCTCACTGTTTTTAACACTAGCCTTACAACATTTTTGTGTTGCTTTGATTAATGAAAAGAATATTTATATATGTATATAACTGTCTTATTTCTTCCTACTTCCATATTTCATAAGGAGACTATTTCTTCTGAATAGCTATGGTCATTAAAATAGAATACATAATATGAATTGCTCACAGTATCTAACATGTTGCCTTTTCTCCAGTTCTTCTGTTGATAGTGGAATGTAACTAGAATATGTATGTGATCATACTTAAGTCCATCTATCACTTCTTCAGACACACATTACCAGATATATTCATCTTGACATGTAAGAGTATGCTTGTTGTTCAAATGCCTTCATGTGGGCGTCCTTGCCCATAAGGAGCTGAACGTTGGAAAGCAACAGGAAAGGAAGAGAAGCTGCCTCTCTAGATGAAAAGTATAGTGTTTTACATGTGCTCTATATTATTACTGTTTGGTTCTGTTTTCACCCCATTACTAAAAGCCCTGAGATCACTTTGTGACATAGCTTTTCCTTTGCCTTGCATGTCCAAAGGAAATCAGTGTGGCTGGAATCCAAAATTCAGCTCTGTTCAATGGACATCATAACACATTTTATTTCACCCAGTTATTCTTGTGTCCTACAGGGAACGCCAATACAGGGAAGTAAACTTAGATTGCCAGGATATTTGTCAGGAAAGGGTTTCCATTCTGGAGAAGACAGTGGCCTAATTTCAACAGCAGCTACGCGAGTCAGGGCACATTTTGCAGGTGAGTGCTAGATGCCATGGAGTGAAGTGCTCCTAGGAAACAACTACTTCATAGTGTATACATAAAATGGGGAAAAATAGGTTGCCATAAACTTACAGGTTGATGCTAGGAAGTGACCTATTTGTCTGGTTGGATATGATCAAATACCACTTTCCCAGCGTGACTACATTGCTAGTGACGTTTCATTGGGAGACTTTTAATGTAAGTGAATTTGCACATAGACTTCACCACCCAAACCTTTCCTGTTCCTGCTGTTCATAACTGTTTCTTGGGTGCTGAATTATGAGATTCATTTGAGTTTCAACTCTTTACACTGCCACAATGTAGGTGGTCTCCTTGTAACACCAGGTAAGGTAAATTATATGGAATGTCCTCCTTTAGGACTCCTGTATATAGAAAATATTGCAGTTTAGCAAGGTGCTAATGAATTTCAGATTCCCCCCAGAGCTGAAATGAATGCATAATGCAAGGTTAGAATGATGTATTGATGTATGGATTGTGTAGTATCTGGATACCAGAAGCAGCAATGGGTAGCACAAGATATTCTAGTTGTTGTTTGTTTTCGTATCCTCAAGTCATTTCCATCTTCTAATGATCCTGTCATTGTGTTTTCTTGGTAAGATTTGTTCACCTTCCTCTCAAGTGGATAAGAGAGTATTACATGCCCAAGGTAGATTTATGTGGCTAAGTAGGAACTCGAACCTGAACATCAGTCATAGCCCAATGTTCAAAACACTGGTCCTAAAAAGCATTTTAAGGGAAGTAAATTTTATTGGACAGTTGAGTGCTTCTCTCCCAGCTTCCTACTGTGAGGTGCACATGTGTAGCTTGCTGTCACATTTGCGCATATAAAGTCCAGGATGTTAGATGTATCCAAGGGGCATGGGCATTGTAGTGATTGGAGCAATTTTTGATCAAGCAGACTTTGATCAGCCCAAGGGAGCACTGTGAACCTCGGAAGAGAGCCCTCTCAGTGGTGACCCCCCCCCCGACTTTGGAACTCCCTCCCCAGGGAGATTAGGCAAATCTCCACACTGCCCACTATTTGCAAGGAGCTGAAACTTTGCATGTTTCAGCAAGCATTCGAGAATGATTAGCCCTATTTATAAATGCCCAGTCCCTAGTTAACCAGATAGAACAATGCTCTCTTTACCCGCCCAATTCCACAGTGCTATCATTTACTGTTTGCACTTTCCTATGCCCAGACTTTTTGATAGCCAGGTCATGCCCATTTTAGTAGCCCTGGTTCTTGGATCTGGATTGGAGTATTGATTGGATGGAGTTTTAATGCTAATAGTTTATACTTTTATGTCTATTTAACTTTTTTAACTGGACAAATGCTCCATTTGATTATATTCCTATTTTACGTGTATTTTTGTTTGATGGATTGTTTGTTTATTGTTTTATGGACATTTGGTCCCATATAAGTCACGCCGAGTCCCATTGGAGAGATGGTAGCAGGGTTTAAAAATAAAGTTACTACTGGTATTTGGGGTGAATTCGAGTCTGGATAAATTGGCATGAGGTGGAGGTGGTGGGTGAGGAAAGCTGCTCAAAGGAGCCCACCTTATTCTCCCATTGTAACTGCAGTGGATGTTTCCCTCCTTCTTTTGCAGACACCAGAAAAACACCAAGCAGACCTGGAAGTCGGGCAGGAAGCAAAGCAGGCAGCAGAGCAAGCAGCCGCCGAGGCAGTGATGCATCGGACTTTGACATTTCAGAAATCCAATCTGTGTGCTCAGATGTGTCAGAAACTGTTCATACCCCTATCAGGCCGACGCCGCGGCCAAATTCTCGGTCAGCGTCTGGCAAGCCTTCCAAAATTCCAACTCCACAAAGAAGATCACCTGCCGGCAAAGTAGAAAAGGCCTCCAAGAGATAATGTGTTTGGCTCACTGAGGTCTTCTCCGCGCCCCTCCCCTCCCCGTGCATTAAATATTTAAGTTTGTAAGATGTAAAATATCCTGTAGAAATTATTGTGAAATATTACAAGAATTGGATTTTTAATTTTGCAGATGGCCTTATTTGTGTATTTGTCTTGTTTATTTTATGTGTATAAGTTTTGTCAACTTTTGTTCATTTGTTTATGCCATATCCGATGTGAACAGAGAGGATTTTTTAATGTAAACTAACGGTTGTTTGCAGTAACATGTAGAGAGAGAGAGAGAGATCACTAAAAGCAATTACTGAATGTGCAGTTAAGTCTTTGCGTCCGAAGTCAACAGGCCTGTCACTTTTCCATTAACAGTAAAGGATACCTCATAATGTTGTCTTAATAAAATTGGGAAAAAAAAGACACCAGGCAAAATTATGTATTTCTAGTTAACAGAATACAGCCTGCAAAGAGAGGCGCAGGGACACTAAAGAACAGGAGACACGGTTCACACAGCAGTTAATCCAACAGCATCTTCCAGGGAATTCACAGAGACAGTTATTTAAAGAGCACTTGCCAATCCTACACTCCTCCAATATGTTACAGCATTATCAGTGTCATTGCTTTAGAAGAAGGCAGACACAACCTGGATACTGTAATAGAACTATTACACTTGCATCAGAATGACAGTATAATCTGCATTCATGTCAATGTGAGGTTTTTGTTTGCTTGAGTGGATGATAGCACTATATCATTGGACTCATTTTATATCAAAGCAGTTTGGCTTGCAAAAAGAAAAGAAGAAACACTACGAAATAAACCTTGTCCCTTCTCTTGGTTGCTATTGTATTCCTTATATCCCAGGGAGATACATGTTTTGTGTCATGTTTACAGTATTATGAAATCTGACAGTTCCAGACCGTTACTTTCAGAATGAACTTTGTTGTAATTTTTTTCCCCGTTCTCCACCACATTTCAAGCAATTACTGTATTCCTTTAATAAAATGACGTTTACATATCAGATGATAAAACACGCCATTCTTGCCTTTCTATAAGAGCTTTATACTGTAATCCTAAGTATAGAAGAATGCTAAGTAATTGATGCAGTACATTCCTGGTCAGCAGGAAGCAGGTTCATTCTTTTAATGCAACCTGTGGTCCATGGACCACCAGTGGGCCACAAGAACTAAAATATGGTTGCGGCCTCACAGTTACTATACCGTTGCAACGAGAGTGAAACCCTCTTATAGTGCTGAGGCTTTCTGTGGGCGAACAGATGGCAACTACTGGATGACATATGTTCTGTATCAGAAACTAGAGCTGCCCAGTGATGGAAGGAAGGAAGGGAAGGGAAGAGAGAAGGAAGGAAGGACAGAAGGGAAGGATGAAAGGAGAAAGGGAGAGGGGAAGGAAACAGAGAGGGAAGGAGAGATAAAAGGGAGGAGGAAGGAAAAGGAAGGAAGGAAGGAAGGGGAATGGAAGGAAGGAAGGATAAAGGGAAGGAAAGGAAAGATGAAATGGAAGGAAGGAAGGAAAGAAGGAAGGAAGGAAAAATGAAAGGGTGGAAGCAAGGGAGAGAGAAGTAGAGAGGTAAGGGAGGGAGGGAGAGAAGAAGGAAGGACAAAAGGGTAGAAGGGAAGGAGAAAGAGGGAGAAAAGGAGGAAGGAAAGAGGGAAGGAAGGCTAGAATGGTGAGAGAGGAGGGTCTAAGAAAAGAGCCCAAGGGGCCGCATCTGGCCCCTGGGCCTAGCTTTGCCCATACCTGGTAGTGGTGTTGGTTATTCATTCAGTCACTTCAGACTCTTCGTTACTTCGTGGGCCACTCCACGCTAGAACTCCCTGTCGACTGTGACCACCCCCAGCTCCATCAAGATCAAGCTAGTCATTTCAAAGATCCCATCCATACACCTTGCCCTTGGCTGGCCCCTCTTCCTTTTTCCTTCCTTTTCCCCCAGCATCATTCTCTTCTTTCCTGTCTTCTCACATGGCCAAAGTACTCCATCTTTGCCTCTAATATCCTTCCCTCCAGTGGGCAGCCGGGCTTTATTTCCTGAAGCATGGACTATTTGGATCTTCCTGCGGTCCAAGGCACTCTCAGAATTTTCCTCCAACATCACAGTTCAAAAGCATCTATCTTCCTTTGCTTGGCCTTCCTTATGGCCCAGCTCTCACATCCATAGGTTACTACAGGGAATACCATTGCTTTAACTATGCGGATCTTCATTGCTAGTGTGATGTCTCTACTCTTTACTTTTTAAATCGAGATTGGTCATTGCTCTCCTCCCAAGAAGGAAACGTCTTCTGATTTCCGGCCAAAGACTGCATCTGCAGTAATCTTCGTATCTAGAAATACAAAGTCTGTCACTGCCTCTATGTTTTCTCCCTCTATTTGCCCTCTATACCTGGTCTACACAGTATAATTAGTACAATTTGACACTGCTTGACTATCATGATTCAACACTGTGGACTTATGAGAATTGTAGTTAGTTGAGGAACAGCACTGTTTTACAGAGAAGACTAAAGGCCTTATAAAACTAGAGTTTCCATGATTACGTTGCAGTGAGCCATGGCAGTTGAAGTAGGAGCAAACTGCATTATTTCAACTAAACATTTCAGCCACTAAACATGGATGCACCATAATACATGTGAAAAACTCCTGTTATACAATTCTCACCATTTGCTGTAAATGCCTTTTCTTATATAGAGTTCTTCTTGCCAAGAAAATTGTAATGTATGATGGTGAGACATCATGTTATTCATAAAGGATTTGTTTGATCTGTCTGGGTTTTTAAAAGCCCCTTCCAACCCTCTGAGGTCACTAAAAATGAATCCAAATTGAAATACATGGCTGGGAGTCAAAAGAAGTTATATCCTTGCCATAAAATCTTGTGCTATCTGGGAAGATGTCGTTTTATGCTCTATTACAAAGGCAGGCAGGCAGCCATCATGAAGGAAATTGGAGGGTTTACGTTCGTACTGTCTCTTTCCAATGTAGTTGGCATTGATTGAACTTGGCAGTAAAAGAGCATTAAAAGAGAGATCTTCACCAAGAGATCTTTGCCAGATTGCACTGCTGCAAAAAGAAGCTGACTAGCTTTAACTTGAACCATCTCATTGCTGGAGATTATTATTTCTCTCTCTATGATTTCCTTGACACACGGCAAAAGTGCAAATGTAAAGCGTTTGCGATGACACGATCTCCAGCTATTTCAAAGTGAGGCCTGGCAAATTACCGGAAAACTGCCGACTCCTGAATGTGGCTGTCCTCCTAGGCAGTCTTGGTTTACCTCAGAAATGCTTTGATGATCCTCGGTGCTTCCAGCAAACAGGACTGTAACAAACTCCGCTCTGTTTTCATGGCGGAAAGGACCTAAATTTAAATGTTTGTTTGATTACATCTGGCTATTTTCACAAAACCCAGCTGCGGGATATATGTTGTAAAAGGACTGGCAAATATACCATCTGAAAGAGTTAGCACTACTTTCCATTCTTATGAACTCAGGTTTTCTGGTTCTAGCTTTGGTTCTGGATGAGAGTTCATCTACACTGTAGAATGAATGCAGTTTGGCACCATTCCAGATAAAAACTACCCAATACAAAAGTGTCATGCAAAGTACTGAGGGAGAGAAATCCCAGGATAATGTATGCAATAAGTATGCAAAGTCATACTAGATCATGCAGTCATGTACATCAGCTCAAGAGCTCAAGGACTATATAATTAAAGACGGTGCTTGCCTTTCATGTGAAGAGAACAGACTGCCACAACTAACTGGGATTCAGCTAAGATCTTGGTGTCTGCTGATGTTTCCTTTGAAGATGGGGAATGGACATAGATGGTTTGGTGTCCTTCTACCCACAAACAGACCCACAAGGCAAGATGTTGGTTTGAATCCCAGATGCTATAGATTTACAATGGGCACAACATTTTGTTTCCAGGCTTTGTGTGTAATCTCGGCAAAGTTACGTATCTGGCTAGCCAGTGTTCAAAGCAGAATGTCAGACTTGATGGGCCTTCATTCTGATCCATAATAACTTTTTATGAAGTCCAAGAAAAAATATATGGTACAACTGCACCTTGATGTTGGTTTTTTTCTTTGTCCTGACTTGAGCTGCCCATATAAGCCACGAGCCTCTTAGGGCACCAAGTTATGGAGAACTACCTTTGTTAGGACTTTGTTAGAACACAAATTCATCTCTAGAAATGCATCCATACTGTATAACTAATGCTGTTCGACACCAGTTTAACTGCTGTGACTTAATGCTTTGGAATCATGGGGGTTGTAGTTTTACAGGGACTTTAGCCTTCTCTGCCAAATAGTTCTGATTCCTCACCAAAGTACAATTCTCATGATTCCATAGCTTGACACCACTTAAAGTGGTGTCAAGCTGCATTCCTTCCACACTAGTTGTTCCCAACCTGTGGGCCGCAGCCCAGCAGCGGACCGCAAGAACGAAAATCTGGTCCATGAAGCTCCTTCCTCCTTATTTATTTATTTCATTTATTTTATTTCCACTCCTTTTTGCAGAGCTGTCCAGCCCCACCCCTTTTGGTACTAATGTTGGAGAATGGTCCCTGGTCATAGTGGACCCTGGTGAAGTTGACTCTGGTCAAGTGGGCCCTGGTCAAGTGGGCCCTGGACAAAGTGGGCCCTGGTCAAATAAGCCCTGGTCAAAGTGGGCCCTGGTTTAGTAGGCCCTGGACAAAGTGGGCCCTGGTCAAAGTGGGCCCTAGTCAAGTGGGCCCTGGTCAAGTGGACCCTGGACAAAGTTGGCCCTGGTCAAGAGGGCCCTGGGCAAAGTGGGCCCTGGTCAAGTGGGCCCTGGGCAGACTGGGCCCTGATAAAAAAAAGGCTGGGAACCACTGTTCTACAGCATAGATACACCCTAAGTAGCAGACACATTTTGTTAGTGTAGAATAGCATGCTCAAGACTGTTTTTCTTCCTGATGTCAGTTTGTGGACACTCACCCAAGCTGTCCTGCCTTTAGTTACCAAAATTGTTTCTCTTATTCTCAGCCTGGGAAATGTTAACCTATTGATTTCTAGTACTCGGATCCCATCAACCAATCATTGCGTGGGATTTAAATTTAGAAGAGCATCAAATGAAAGTCCTGCTTTTTCTCCCTATGTGAAAATAGTGTAATAGAACATGGATTAGCCAAACTATTCAGCCCTTTTGGTCTTTGAATCAAGTATTTCTGCACTGATACATAGGCTACTAGAAAGAGCAACCTTGTATTGTCAGAGGCTTTCATGGCTGGAATCATGGGGTTGCTGTGAGATTTCCGGGCTGTATGGCCATCATTGAATTCCAGAAGCATTCTCTCCTGATGTTGGCAGGCATCCTCAGAAGACCTCCTAGGATGCCTATCATAGATGTGGGTGAAACGTTAGGAGAGAATGCTTCTGGAACATGGCCCTACAGCCCAGAAAACTCACAGCAATCCAAGAGTAAACTTGTTTTTCATCATTAAACGTCATTATACATCTGGTCTCAGGTCTAAAAACTCAGAACTCTGCATTTTCCCAGCATAGCTATAAATAGTTCGTACATGAATTGTTTTTTTATACTTGGCATTTAGCACTCTCTTGGCAGGGAAAATGACCCAAATCAGAATACTGAACGTTTCCTCCAAGTACCAAAGAAATGCCATGCATACAGACAACTTTAATTTTCTCTTCACATTTGTCTGCATCTATGTGAGTGCGTGTGTTTGTTTTAATTTGGCCATCCTGTGCTAAGAACAGAACCATGTTTAGAAGAAGGTCTCCTCAGTGACTTAGGAAAATGTTAACAAGGACAGACTAGAGTTTCTTTCCAAAGTACATTATTTATTTATCATGTCAGAAACAAATTGAGAATTCAGTTATACCTCGTATGTATTTTTTTTAAAAAAAACCCACAAACATATTAAAAGCTTGGCATTGTACTAAATGTCCTTTGACCAGATGCTGACCACTTGGAGTGCCTGTTAGGAGATCCTCCATTGTGCATGTGGCAGGGCTCAGGCTGCATTGTAGTAAGTGGTCTGT